TAACAAAAATTCAAAAACACTGTCATATAATTCATATTGTTCAAACCTCTTTTCCAATGATGAAATAGTTTGATCAACAATGTAGATAAAATATTGAATTCTAAATGATTCTTCTGGAGATAATGATGTCTCCTCACTATCAACCTCATTAAATTGTTTTTTTTACGTATTACACGCCTTTGAAGAAAGATAGGGTTGACTCCAAAATCAATGGCTAATTTTTTTGCAAGGTCCATGACATTTGAAAATCCAACATCTCTATAATTTCTGAAAAAGGAAATCAATCCTTTTATCTCACACATAGAAATATCAATCACCATATTTTCTGACTGTAGATATTTGCTAACCTTGTTCACAACAAATAAAATATCATACCAAATTATTGTAGATAGTAAAAACTCAAAACTACCAAGCTCATTAGTTGCTAAAGATTTTGCTTCACTCTGAGTTTTAGAATCAATATCAACAGTAGATACTTCAAGTAAGGCTTCCCTTAATTCAACAATTTGAAATCTTATTGTTGTGATACTATCAATTCGACTTTCCAAACGTGTGGCTGACTGTGATTTGGGAGTATACTCTTTCACATAATGCTTTAAAATATCCCACCTATTTGTTGAACTAGCAAATATAGTATATATGCGTTGAACTAATCCAAAAAAGTCCCTTGCTTTATTTGAAGTGTTTGTAATGTCACACAAAACCAAATTAAGGGAAGATATTCGACTGACGAAATTTATCAGTGGACTTTCCTGTGAAGGGAAATCATCCAAAAATCATATTATTTGGTTCAGACTAGCTCAAAGGAGCCACCTGAAGAACTATGGCTGGCCTAGACCTGTGAAGGGAGGCAATTTTTTTTAAAAGATAGCATTTGCAGCATAACTCAAGGCTAGAAGGGTTATCTGTCACAAAGACCTTCGAGTTCGATTGCACTCAACTTCAAGGGAATATCATTTGCAGCATAACTTAAGTCGAGAAGGGTTATCTTCCAACCAAAGACCTTCGAGTTCGACTACGCTCAGCTCCAAGACATATCATTTGCAGCATAGTTTAAGTCGAGAAGGGCTATATGCCAAAGACCCCTGAGTTCGATTACACTCAGATTCGAGGGCATATCATTTTACAACATAACTCAAGGCTATAAGGGATAAAGTCACCAAAGACCTTTGAGTTCGACTACGCTCAGCTCCAAGGCATATCATTTGCAGCACAACTTAAGTCTAGAAGGGTTGTCTGCCAACAAAAGACCTTTGAGTTCGACTACGCTCAGCTCAACGGCACATCATTTGCAGCATAGCTTAAGTCGAGAATGGCTATCTGCCAAAGACCCCCGAGTTCGATTGCACTCAGCTTCGAGGGCATATCATTTACAGCATAACTTAAGTCAAGAAGGGTTATCTGCCAACCAAAGACCTTCGAGTTCGACTACGCTTAGCTCTAAGGCATATCATTTGCAACATAGCTTAAGTCGAGAAGGGCTATCTACCAAAGACCCCCGAGTTCGATTACACTCAGCTTCGAGGGCACATCATTTACAGCATAACTCAAGGCTAAAAGGGTTATCTGTGACCAAAAGACCTTCGAGTTCGACTACGCTCAGCTCCAAGGCACATCATTTGCAGCATAGCTTAAGTCGAGAAGGGCTACTGCCAAAGACCACCGAGTTCGATTATATTCAACTTAGAGGCAAATCAAGCTTACATAATAGCTCAAAGCAAGGAGGGCTATCTGTCAATAAAATTATCGAGTTCGGTTCCAGTCAGCTCGATAACACCTCAATCACACTACTGTCCGGCTGCAATAGAGGTTTTCAAGTCGAGAAGAAGACCCAAGTTAACCGTGCCTAAGTGACAAAAGTTATCTATCAACGAAGACCTTTCGAGTTCGATTTCATTCAGCTCAAAGGCCTGTCAACTACAAATAGAGGTTTTCAAGTCGAGAAGAAGACCCAAGTTAACCGTGCCTAAGTGACAAAAGTTATCTATCAACGAAGACCTTTCGAGTTCGATTTCATTCAGCTCAAAGGCCTGTCAACTACATGGTGGAATCAAAGAACTACTTTTCAGACGAATTTTTAACCAAGGTCTTTAGTCGAGAAGAAGACCGAAGTTGACTACACCAAAGACAACGAGAAGCCACATTCCAATTCTGAACTATAGTTTCAATTCCATATCACTTCAAGATGGACTCGACTTCGCGACGGAGGGGCCATCCACTACTCAAATCGACAGGGAGTTATTCTATTCAATCTTCAACTCCACCGGACGAAAATTTGTGTCTTTTTATCTTTGTCCTATTTTTCGTTCCACAAAAAAAGGACAAAGAGGGGCAGCTGTAGACACTCATTTTCATCCAAATTTGGGCTTTTTTATTATTTATTTATTTTTATTATAAGTATATATATATATATATATATATAGTAATATAGTATAATTTTTGAAAATGTTTTTGAAAAATATAATATATAGTTTTCAAAAACGGTTTCCGAAAATATTTATTATATAGTTTTTAAAACGTTTTTGAAAGCTTATATACAATATATAAGTTTTAAAGCATTTTGAAAATTATATAATATATAGTTTTGAAATCATTTTGAAAATATAATGTATAGTTTTAAAAAAAACATTTTTTGGAAAATTTATATAATATATAGTTTAAAAAACATTTTGGAAAACTTATATAATATTTTTAAAAATCATTTTGAAAACTATATAATGATTGGGCCTGAACCAGCCCAGTACAATGTGGGTTTGCAAAACCTTAACATACTCAAGCATCATCGCCGCAAGGCATGGAGACAGTCAGTAAACGGCGTCGCACAACCAAACAGTCAGGGGCGAAACGGCCGGCCGAAGATCCTGAGACTGACCCATCCCGGGATACCGACCACAACAACAACGACCCCCCTTTTTCGGGACTCACAACGACCGGTGGGGTATTATAAAATCCCAACGACACAACACGGCATGGGGGGGAGCCAGTAAACTAAAATCAACAGAGCCTCATCGACAGAAACCAATCTCAACACATCATCCAACATAAAAAACAGAGAGCCACAAACAAAACACTAAAAACCAACAAACCACAGGAACACAATCACAAAACAAAACGCAACCATCAACTAAAAAATCGAGGCAGCAAACAACGAAGCAATTATATTTGAAACAACAAAGAACATAACCCAAAAGGTTCAGCCTTTGAACCATTCGGAAGAGAGCACGACCGTTGAGCACTAAAGGTTGCCGGAAAAGCGAGAGGACAACGCATCAAAGGTAAAACGCTGAAGCTTTGAGCGTAGATCTACGCCGGTGGGGGGAGTTCTTGAGTGTTTAAGTTTCGGTTCTGGCTTGGGGGCATTGAGACGAGTGTTTCGAGGTGAGTTTAGTTTTTTTGACCGCCGTATGACGGCTGAAAGCGGCGGCGGGGCGGTTGGCATAGGCCGAGGAAGGTGGCCGACTGGATTTGGGTTGAGAGAAAAGAAAGAGACGAGAGCACGAGAGTGTTAGAGAGATAGGGAATGTGAGAAATGAGGATTGAGGGATATTTCTGAGCCTTTCACACCCATATATGTCCCTCCCAAAACGACGCCGTTTTGGGAAGGGATTGTTGTGCAATTTTGAGATTGGATTAACCTCGTCTGCAGCCCTCAGGTTTTGTAATACTTATATTTTAGTCACTGAATTTAATTTTCATCATTTTAATTCGGATTCTGAATTTAATATATTTGCGATTTGATCCCTAATTGATGTTTCCCTCAAAAATAGCCTTGGAATTTTTGCATGTTTCAATTTAGTTTTTTTCTTCTTATTTTTTCTGATTTAGCCACTGACATTTTTAGTTTTTGCATATTGATCATTTTTTGTTTATTTATTTTTACATTTTCTCCGGATAATATTCATTACATTAACATTTTTAGTTTTTATTTATTTTTATTATTCTTCTTCTTTTCCTACTAAATTTCATTTATTTTTCACTTATCTATTTTCTTTATATTATTATGTAAATATATTTTCTTTTCTCTCACATTTTTTTCTATTTTGTCATTTAATACATTTTTAGTGATTCTAACCAATTAAAGGTAAGTAACTCGAATTGAATATTTTAAATTTTAATTTTAATTTTAAATTTTTGCAATAAAAGACAACCTATAAATTAATTGGTACCGAAAGGGTAGTTCAAGGATGCTAATCCTTCCTTGACCGTAACCGACTCCCGAACCCAACGCGTTTCTGGTACAACGTAGATCAGGTAAGATGGTGTCCGACCCACCTATTATCGTTTTAAAGTGGTCGCTGGCGATTCTAACCCAATCCACATTTTTTAAGTCGAAGCCCAATTTCGGGACCCAACCGAAAGACGGTTCCGACAAACTATATAAACAAAATAAGAATAATGATACTACACATTTTTAAATTAAATATTAAGTTTTTGATGTTATAATTTTATCCTTCAATTATAATTTTTATTTTTAAATCAATTTCAAAAACTTTTAACATTTATATTTCATTTTCAAACTATTACACTCATTTTAATTTGGTCCCAAATGTTCTAATTTCATCTATAAATTATTAATATATATATATATTTTACATCAATTTATTTTGTAACATTCATAATTTTTGGTTTTCTGTATAATTAATTTAAAAATAATTTAAAATGAGAGTCATAGTTTGAGGATAAATTTAAAATATTTAAAAATTTACAAACTAATTTAAAATAAAATTCATAATTTAAATATGAAATTATGTATTTAATAATTTATGAAAATTTGAATAAAATAAAATTTTTATAAATTACACAAAATCAAAATTCACATATCATATTGTATATTTTATGAAAATTTAATATTTTCTCTTTAAAATAATATATAATGTAGAAAACTGAAAAGAAACAAACATTACTATAAATTAATTTAATTTATTTATAATCAAATTTAAATATAAAATACACGAGGAGAAAAAATCATAAAGATCAAGCGGCTGAAATCAACCTCAGCCCCTTGCACCCAAAAACAATATTCCTTCTCTTTATTTGTATGTAACTTTGGAGAGAATAAAATCATGACAACCATGGGAGACCCATCATCCAAGGAAGATAACCCAGGAGTTCTAAAGGTTCTCGAATCTCTAAAACAAGCTTCGCACGAGTTACAATCTCATCCAACTCGCAACCCGGCTCACTCCGACTCACCCGCCATTAAAGCTCTGCTCGAGCTTCAAACCGAGTCTGACCCCATACTCTCCAAAGACCCACATCTCTCTGCTCTTTCCCGCTACATCGCTGAACTCAAAACCCTCGTTGAAACCCTTGAAAAGACTCGTGGTCATGGCCTCAGGAGCTTCTTAACACGTCGTGTCTCGACTCATTCCATTTCCCGAGTTGCCGGTTCGATCGAGGCCGAGATTCAAGCTTGGATCGACCGTGAGAGCATTGAGAGCTTGCTGAAGGTTCTGAAAGAACCGTGGAAGGACGAGGACGAGTTAGTTCGGTTACTGACTCAGTTCGAAGACCGAGTCTCACAAGGCTTTGATCGCGAGTTACAGGATTTATTCCTGAAATCGAAAGCCTTCCCGGTCTTGCAGACGGTCCTTTGCGACCCGAGTTGTCCAAATCGGATCAGGGAAAAGGCAGCGTTTTGTGTGGCCGCTTTGATTCGATTCAACAAGGATGTGTTCGTGGGGCAAGTGAATATGGGAGATACCATCCACGCCCTTTTGGAGATGAAATCAATCCATAGCCTCAAAGTTCTACGTGAGTTGATTACATTTACTAAATCCCCATTTGTGGATGAGATACTCTGTAACGGGGAAATCCCCAAGATTTTAATTCTATTGGAATCCAAGGATTTGGACATGAAAGTAGTGGCCTTGGATTGCATCCTTGAAATTGGATACTTGGGACGCAAGGAAGCTGTTGAAGCAATGCTTAAAGGAGGATTGATAAAGAAGCTCGTGGAGTTGCAGAGGTCAGAATTTGGTGGGGATTTGATTGAGATGGGAAAATTTGACGATGAGAATCAGGAGAGCGAGGGGAAGAAAAGAGAGAAGAGAGAAAACAAGTTTTTGAAAAGCCATCCATTTGCAAGCTGTGTGGCAAGGTTTGCAGTGCAACTAGAGGCTGGGGAAGGGCTGAGGCAAAGAGAGAAAAGGGCCTTTAAGCAAGAGATTTTGGAGAAAGTTAGAGAAGCATCTGTTGGTGATGCGGAGGCTGCCACCATTATTGCCGAGGTTTTGTGGGGGTCTTCACCTTGATCCTGTTCTGTGACAATAATTCAGACATGGGGGAAAATAGGTAATTATTTTCGAATTCTTCTTTTTAGGGGTAAATCTTTTGGTTTGGTAGATAGAAAATTGGGTATGTATTTGTTGTTGTAAAAGAGGGTTTATAAAGATTGTGTCCTCACCTGGAAATTAAACTATAATGAATGTCTCCACTCTCCCTTGTTAAACGTTTTTTTTTTCCTTTTCGTTTTTGGGTGTACAGATTACATTGGGTCGTTGCCTCTCAAATTTCAATCATGGAGTGGTTTGATAAATTGGTATTAAATTATAACTTCTTACCTTTTTCATATGAAAATTATGTTGGTGCCTCCCAAGGGGTACAACAATCATTGCATGTCGTATGCTTTTCTTTTATATATGAATTTAGAAAAAGGAAAAACAAAAAAATGTGATTTTTTTAAATAAATCAAATCGGAAGAAACGAAATGATTAAAGATTACCAAAATTCAATTTCTTATTCTCTAATTTTTATATACAAGTATTTGTTCTTCATTCCGACTCCATTAAACATGAACGGGAGGTGAGCATGAATCATGATGCCTTAATCACTAACGTGTTTATTACACATCTGTTCCCATTCCTCTAACGGCAAGCATTTGTTTCACGTAGGCTCACAAAACCTTATGACCAGTCCATGCAAAGTTCCAAACACGACACGGATGTATTACTAGGAAATTTCTTTTAGTTGACCTTTCCTTTGGACATCCACTATTTTTCAATCTTTCCCGACAATGTTAAAACATGTCTAATTCATTAAGACTTTTCTAAACAGGAGCTCTTTCCTGTAGGGATGAAAGACACAATGCTCAAATTGCTAATTCTTAACAAGGGCGGGCCCTATTCATCACTTACAGTATAAGACGTAAGTTGCCTTTGCTTTTATCTAAGACAACGATTGTTTGGATTCTATTATTTTCCAAAATCATGGCACCCTACGTCTCTTGAAGATGGAAACAAAGCAATAAAAACAAGACAGAAATACGCAACAGCTGACATCAAGTTGCAGACACATGAGCAGATAACTCAGATGTTAATGGAGGCAGAGTAAAAACCCAAAGTAACCATTTTGATTCTTCATCCTAAGAATCTGGAAAAATGTAGAAGTTATTTATATTGCAATTTGCAGGCATTCAGTTAAGGGGGAGGTTCATGAATTTCCTTTTTGCAAAGGCTAGCCACCACTTATTTGGTGTTCCATTAGGTCTATACGCGACACTCAACAGTCTCCCACTTGTCTCTTCTCTTACTTGCTTCAGATAATACCTAAGCAGTTCTGCATTTAAGGAATCAGGTCAGGTAACAGATAAACGTGTTTTTTTCCCCAATAAGGAGATTTACCAGCTTCATTCTGAGACTGGAGGGGGAAAGAGCGCCGTAAAAGGAAAACCTGGTTCTCCAGGTATGGTAACATTTTCCGATCCTAGGTTAATAATGGCCTTAGTCCCCTCCGCCAAGGTTCTACAGCCCTCGAGCCTTTTTAGAGACAAGTTTATGTGGTAAGTCAAATATTTAAGGAGCTTCTGCAGGGTTCTTAATATCAAAGTTCCGGAAGAAGACATTTGCACGGAAGAATGTGATGGCTTCGTCAATGATATCTGTTTTACCTGCATGCAACCATCTTCCATTATCAAATCAAATAATAAGAAAAAGGAACATCATATCGTGAACAACTAACGAATGATGCTGATGGGGAAAAAAAAAAACATAAATCCGACCTTGTTCTGAAACAGGAGCAGGACCCTTTTTCTCACTTTTCAATGAAAGTAAAGGGCAGACACAGGCTTTGGTAATTCCTTCCTCGTCGACAAAACTAGAGTGGTAAACCTGCCACTTAATCATTTCGAAGTCAATATGAACCGAAAACGATCATAACCAAAACTAAACCAGATTGATTCAGATACCATTTTCCTTTTTGCAAACCAAGCGATTGGATTTCCCCTGATTTTGCAGAGAATGGGAAACCGTTCATTCTCTCTATAATGCACTACGTAGATATCCCAGTGTTAATAACAGGAAAAGAAAAGGAAATTTACCAACAAATTTTTATGGTTGATCTTGAATAGCAAAAATGACTCAGGTGGGTGTTGTTCCATGTAATTATATAGTTAGAAATGGGAGAGAAATACGGAAAAAGATGGAGCGACTTCGGCCAACAAAAGCTTTCAACACCGATATTTCGGCCTGCCTAGTTCTATCCAAATTGAGCTCGAGTAGTTAAATGGGCCGTGGTGTTGGCTTCCTGCCATTAGTGAAAGAAAGTGAAATGAATGTGCTCTAAATACAAGGCCCAGATCAAGAATGAAATACAAATCCTATAGATGAATCAATTACCGGACCAAGTGAATTGGTTTATGGAATCACTTTAATCGTGTATATTTTGAAATCCGAATCACTTGATACAATTGACGCTCTTTATAATTTTTATTTAATATAACATAAATTTAATATATCATTGATACATGAATTTTGTTGATGTCAAGTTAAAAGCTTTGGAATCCTGAGTGTCTATCTACCATGTGGAAATACAATGTATACATTTTTGGGTTATCAATTCATCTTTGATTCTGATTATAGTTATACGGATATTTTAATTACGACCCTAGTCATCGTCAAGCATTCTGGAACCACCCAGGCAATCAAAACAGTCTGGCCATCACACAGCCAACTAAGCAACTTGGCTTCTTTTGGCTTCTTTTGGCTCTTACTGCCTTCACCTAAGAAAGAAAATGAAACTATACAGCTCAGATATTTATACCATTGCCAACTTGTAAATTTTCAACATATTTTTCTTTGATTGAATCCTGCCTTCTGTTTGCCTTTCAATAAACAGTCAAAACTACCATTCTCCCCCTACCCTCATAGTCCAACCACCTGTTCGATACATAAATTAAAGCATAATTCCAAAAAAAAAACATAAACATTATCAGAATGCATTAATATAAATTATTAATGTTGAAATCCAATGCAACTTATAAATATATAATTATCATTAGAAGATATATTTTGAAAATATTCTAGATTAATATGGAAAAAGTATATATCTAGAAATATCCATCAAATAATATAGAAATTTATAATATGTAATATTATATCTAGAATTATCTATTAGAATGACCTAGATATTTGTAATGTTAAATGACTAAGAGGTTGATATATGTCAATATCCAATGACAATTAGAATCTATAAATAGGTGTGAGTTTCTTTGATAATGCAAGTAGTGTTTTACTAATACATGTTTATTAAATGATATTGACTTACAGCTTGTAACCAATAAAGATTTTGGCTTAACCAATAGGGATTGGTTCAAGTGATAAGCAGTTTGATATCGCTTAAGCAAGGTCTCAAGTTCGAGTCCTTGTGTATGCAGAAAATCTCTGGTGAGAGACTCACCCACTAAAGTCAGATGTGCGATGCGGGTCGGTCTGGATTAATAAAGACGAAGTCTTGGAATCGGGAGGGCAAAAAAAAAAAGAAGATTTTGGCTTACTTTATAATCAGGTTTAGAACAACCGTCATTTCAAATCTAACACATTTTTTTCTTTCACTTCAAAAGCCAAACTAAAAAAAAAACAAAAACAAAACCATGAAAACTACAACTTTACAATATTTTCAATAACCTAATTTACACACATTTTTAGTAGAATTTTGCACCTCTTGAAGACAACTGACAAAGACCTCCGAGGCCAAAAAATAGTAAATTGTGTCAAAATCAACAATGCTTACTTAAAAACAAATCTTAGTTACATTTAAAATGATTTTGAGGTCTTCTATTAAATTAGTTTGTGATAGCTGACATTGAGACATAAGAAATGTTGACCAAAGGTCATCTTTGACAGGCAAGTTCGTGGATATCCTTTTCGATATCAAATACAACATTTGGGTGTGCTAGTTTAAGTGCATTCTCTGACATTCTCTTCAGCTCATCCGTCTTTGTGTTGAATCATTCCGACACAATTCTAGTTGTTTCCTTCAGACTTCTAGTGAACACACCTGCTTCATTGTCTACTACATATGGTACGTTGTCCTTTTCCTAATGTAAGAAATGAAGATTTAAGGTTAAGACTTGAGAACAACAAAATTAGAAGGCTCCATTTACAGAATAAGGTAGTTTCAATAGGAAAAATTGGTAACTAAACATGTCCTGGAATGTAGTCATTGTTAACAATTGGAAGCCCCTTATCAAGGCCTCTGCAATAGTACTAGGACCAACCTGTAATTTCATATAGTCTAATTAGCCTATATACACTAAGCAAAAGTAATGCATAAACATAGGAAAGTTTAAATTCAATTTCATTGCCTTTGTAATTATGCAGCCACAAGCACCCATCCATTTCTCTATCTGGGTTTCAAACCCTCTCACCTAGAGTGAAGGTAAAACATGGTTTAATCAACCATTTTCATTGTGCATGTTTAATGATTTCATGGGGTAAGTTGAATCTTAAAAAAGAAAATGATATTACCTTCACCGGGATCATCCATTCCTGCAATTCCAATGTTGAAGCAAGGCCTTTGTTTCGGCTACAAATTATGATCATTTGTCCTATTGGTTTTCGTTGATGTTTATCATATAGTGATTCACTGAGTGCCACTGTTGTTTTCTTAACAGGTCCCATTCCTTCACCCCTCCTGTCAGCAAAACCACAGGCAACTTAGGATCTAACTTTAGTTCTATTCTCAAGATCCCTCCAAGCTAATGCAAGCATATGGATTAATTGATTGTTTTTATGTGTACTACAATCCTCACCTTGGAAAGAACTGCACGGACAAACGAAGGCCGAAAAGGAAGACCGAAAACCCGAACTTGTGAATCTTAAAACCATCGTATAATGATCTCTTGGCTACCTTCTTTGACGGGCAGTAGCATATGTTAACTCTAGGATGAAAACTGAATTGAATTCCAATTGTTTAAAGATACTCAGGTGGAGTTGCTATAAAGGAAATCTAGAAGTTATAGGGTTTGGTGAACTGACCATGTAGGATGGCAGCTATTGAGATATGTAATTACAGTAACAAAAATCACTTTTTTTGAAGGCCTTTCCATTTAAGAACCAAGAGAGGAATGTGTTGTATCAATGGATGAACACTAATGATAATGTCTGGCTTATACTCCATTAAACCCGCCTCTACCTCCCTTCAATGACAACATACTTGGCGTAATAGTAAGCAATGGCAGGCAGATAGCTGCTCTGTATCCATCTAGGATATGTACCGTGAAAGGCAACTTTCCAGAGTAGTACATGTTTCACCATAAACTTGTAGGACCTTTCCATGTCGTTCAATAGCCACCATGTATATTCTTTTCACACATCTTTCACATGTATCTGAAAAAGCAGGTGATGACATCTTATGCTTCTTGAAGAATTAATTGCGTAGGCAAATTCATTAACCGAGACATTTAATTAATCCAAGATCTTGATGAACAGATTCAGGACTTAGTCTGAATTTGAATTAAAAAGCATAGGAAGGGGACGAGAAATGGAAAAATCCAAGATTGAATCGTACCATAAAAGAAAAGAAAAAGATACGATGGCCATCACCCGTGTCACTCATCAGGATCAGCACATTCTTGCTTCTTTCAGCACCCATCTGCATCAGCTGTATGGTCCCGTCCTCATCCTCGTATTCGTCTTCACTCTCGTAAGAACACCGCCTTCGATGTTTAGGGTGGTGTTTATGATGATAATAACGGCGGCTGCTACCGTTACCGCCGTAAAATCTCTGCCAGACCTTCTCTGTAATGGAAACCGCCTTTTCTAGCGTCGCTGCCTTCACCAGCATGGATGCACAAGTCCAAAAAAACGAAAGAAAGCAAGATACCAAGAATGACAAAGAGTAGTAGCCTTTGGAAGTTGTTTTAACTGCCGACGACGGGAAATGGGAGTTTTCCGGTAGATATATAGGAAGTGATGGCGGAGACAGAGGTGACAAATAATGGTAATTGATGTTTACAAGGTTCATGCGGTGCATAAGTTGGCAAAAGGTTCAAGTTTAATAAGGTTGTTGCAGAAGGAAAGGCTTTTTTAATTAATTGGTGAATTTCTGTGATCGTCAGATTCGCATTTTATTTTGGAATGTTCGACAGCGAAGATTCGGATCTTTTCCTTTGCTCTACAATTATTTTTAGACTTAGTTTTTCTACATTGATTGCGTTAACTTTCTATTTATTTAAATATTTCAAAACACATTTTTATATACTTTACAATTGTTTAGCCGCATTATATATAATAATTTTCGGGAGAGCTTATCACATATATAATATATAGCGGAACGACATATATATATGAGGGTGGGCACGTGCCCACACTTAAATTTGAATTTTCTTTGGTTAATTTGTTATTTATTGATAGTGTTCATTTTAAAATTTTACATATACTTACCCTAAAATTTTAATTAAGCGTACCCATTCAAAAAAATTATGTTGCTAATCTATGTGTGCCTACATTAAAAAAATATTTCTGGATCCGTCACTCGCAGAGTTTGATATCACTTAAATAGATTTTGAGTTTGAGATTTTATGTATGTACAAAATCCCCATTAAGACTCACCTACTAAAATCATATATACAACTTGGGTTGATCCGAATCAATCAAGATGTTACACTTAATAAGCTAAAATGTAAATAATAATAATTATAGGTTTTCATTTCAAATTACTCCATAAACAAAAACAATAATGATTTATATGTATATCACCTTAACTAGAAAGAATTTATAATTTATAGATGGCGATACGTGGAGCAAAATCCAAACAATTTAGAATCGAAGCATTGTTGAATATAGATTACTTGAACTTTCAGTACTAAAATTTCAAGTTTGTACTCGCCCTTCGCAATCGCTTTCTGAAAATCATTATAATTTGATATAAAAAAATACGTATCAAAATATAAAGAGTAGATTTATATATGAACCGAATTTATATCTCAATATAATGCTTGATAGCAGCTAAATTTTACGTACATATATATATTTTATTTCCAATATCAAAATACGGAAACTAAAAAATCAGAAATTGACTGAATCTCTATCAAGGGGAGTGGACGGGCGATCATCTTTGAAAATCTTAAATAACTTCTGACTATGATAACTGTTAATGCAACCAATAGGCAGCCCCACAAGAGCTGCAATTTGCTGGAAATGTTATTCTGTAAGTAGCGTTGCTAATGCAAATGCCCATAGCACATATAAAATTTTGTCACGGGTGCTTCTCCTGTTGATACTGTTAAGAAACGGACCAACACTGCCAAGTAAACTAGGTTCCAAAGTACAGGCATGGCATTATCATGCCTTGTCAGTATTCAACCTGAAGAAATCTCAGCAATACAATGCTTGGTTATGATCCTAAACTTTCAGCTAAGATAACTACATAAAGCCTACATTCATGCCCTATTTAACTATGTCCTATATGTCTAGAAAATTACTATCTGTCGACTTTTGTATGTACAATCATTCTTTAGTAGAAGCATCAAACTCGTGATGGCGAACCAGAACATAAGGGACATGGCGGGTCACACCTATTCTCAAAACTTGTTCTCTGGTCCAGACAATCTGCATGATATGCATGCCCACAAACTAGAACTGCCACAACAGAGAACTCGGTAGAAGCCAACGTGTTTCCGAGAAAATAAGGGCTCCGTCTCAGATGCTTCTGACATATGCCACAAATCATCTTCACCGTGTCTGGTGACACTGCATCCACTAACAAACTAGACCGAATCCTATCTGGCCTGCTGAAAGCTTGATGCCTACTATCTGCAGAAGTTGGAACACTAAGTTTATATGGCAAAACATAAGCATAAGGCATCGGAAATTTTAAGCTGCGAGCGCGGATGAGACTCATAGTCAAATTAACGCCAGTTCTTTAATTTCTAAACAATGGAAAATACGACCTTAATTTGTAATGATCTTGACAAGATAAAAATGCAATCCCACTGTCACATGCTATGGAAACAAACAGATCCTTGCCATGAAAACGAATAAAGATGAATGTGACCTGCTTGACGTCCTGACTCCGAGTTGGACTCGGTAAACTTGAAGGATAATCTCTCGTCGTGCAGAGGACTAATCTCGCCACAAGAAGTTGATAGATTAGAATGGTTGCCATAGTACTGCCATCGGTAGTGCTGATCATAGTGACGGCGTGATCGTTTTGAAAACGTTGAGCTCCCAACATCGTAATGGCGTCGAGCAACAGAAGAGTTGTGATCATGTATCTTGACAGAACTATCTCCAACACCCATGCCAGCACCCAAATTCAATGAAGGCTACAAAGGAAGGAGAAAACAAAAACAATGGAACATTGCAGACCATTCAGTTGACAAATAGATAAAGAAAAACTCTCAAAACGATCCGAGGAAAAGAACAAAACCTCCTTTGTTAACATCTCTGCTCCCGAGAAGCACGGCATATGTTCTGCAATATTCAATAAAAAGCACAGCAAATTATTCACATTTTAGTTGCTCAAATCAAAAATAGGAGGAATTCATAGCTTTGCCTCTCTGTCGAATTATAAAAGCTGAAGATAAACCAATCCTTCGCATGAACATATTATAATGTGATTGTACTTTTAACAAAGTATGGGCTTACCTAATATTTCTCACCATCAAAACAGAAAGCTCTTTTTATTGATTCGCATCATGTCGAAAAGAAAGCTGCCAGCCAAAGTGTCACCAAAAGCAACACAAAAGGTGATCAAATCTGCACGAATTAAGTTACTTCAGTAGGTCGTTGTTATTTTTAGAGGTCACGAATCCTAACACCAAAGTTGTAATAAAGTGATTAATTATTTATGGTTAAACAGTTGAAAATATTTAAAATATATACTACTTTATAATAACCTTAGCTTAATAAAAAATGATCGAATTCTTAATAAATATATATTGACAAATTGTTTCAGAAAATGAGAAATCATTGAGAGACTACCCCGTTCATAGCATCTCGAAAACGCTTGGCAAATGAGTCATCAAATATTAAGGAAAAAGAAAATTTTAATTTATGATTTGATCCTTGAATTATAATCGATTTTCTATTTTGGTTTCTAAATATATTTTTCATTCTATATTAATATCTAAATTATCATTTTTATCTCAATTTACTAAGAAAAATAACAGTTAACAATAACGACACATTTTTTATAAAAAAAATGAAACAAAAATGATAATTTAAATAGGGTAAAAAGACTACAATAAATATTAAGAAAAGAATATCAACTATTATATCAACAAATGAGTAAAATGTAATTGTGTTATTATTTAATTTAACGATATTTTTTTAATAAATTCTAAATTTAAATTTAATTTTAATTTTGTCTAGATGAAAGATAATGGAAACTTTAGGAGAAGGAAGTAGAGTGCTCCTAGCTTGACCAATCGGTTAAATACGATTACTCCTAAGTTAGCTATATTAATTAGGGATGAGCATGGATTAGGTCAGATTTTCGGTCCACCCGATCTAACCGAAAATTATACATCCTCCACCCGACCCGAAAAATATACACCTTTCACCTGACCCAAACTCGACCCGCCTTTTTTGAGAAAAAATCCTAACCCGACTTGACTCAAAATAATTTATTTATTAAAAATATTATTATTATTTAATAAAAATAGGAATTTAATTGTAAAAAAAAATAATATAGAGAGGGGTATTATTGCAACTATTGCTAAATATATAATGTAAAATTATAATTTTTTGAGTCGGGTCAAACATTTTTCATCCTAAACTCGAATCAAACCTAATCTAAAAATAACCTTTAAAAAAAACTATACTAGACCCAAATATAACTTTTTAAAAAAAACCAAACTCGATCAGATCGAATCGAGGTCCCATATCCATCCATAATATTAATCTTTACTTTACCGTTAAATGAATAAGCAGTAGAGATACCCAAGGTGAAAAAAAACATCAACAAAGAATAAATGCTGGCATTGGATCTCCACCGCCATCCGGAGCATTGGATTTTGGGATGGTAACCGGTCGGATTTGGATAGGATTCAGCTATACTCATATCCATATTCATTTTCACATCTTGGACCAGGCCTGCCCAGATCCGGATCCAAAACGGGTTTATTAAAAAATAATCATTCGATCTATTTTTTAACGTAATAAAATTGTCATTGATTAATTTCACATCACATGTCTATCACATGTCCAATGGATAAAAGATTAATTTCAATACAACAAGTAACAAAATAAAAAATGATAAACTAAAGACTAAAAAAACTTTACACAATAACACAAACATCTTTAGAATAACACAAACATTAAAAAATATAGATCATGAAATATTTTATTATCACAAGCCGAGTTTAAATCTTATAAAAAATCAACCTTATAAGAACTTTGGTGTCTCCTTTATAAAATATCTATATATATTTTAAAAATTATTATTTCATATATATATATATATATATATATATATATATATATATATTTTAAAATTAAAAGTGGGTTTTTTCTATAAACGGGTTCAGACTCGATATCTTAGTATTAAATTTGAATTCGCCGTACTCTAATTAGAAAATTCAGATATAATCCAGATCCATCGGATCTAAAATTTTAATTTTCAAATTTTATAAAACAAATTTGAATCTACGGATTCGAGTCGGATCTAGATTCATTGATCCCCACCGCCGTCGGGTTCTATAATTTATTTCAGTCTTTGCCTCGGGTAAAAGCAAAAGCAGAAAACTTTGTTATATACAAAAACGGAAGGAAAAAGGGGCGCCGGGGGGGTTAACTTAAAACTGTACGAATAGAGAGAGTGGACCGAGAGACCTGCAGGGGCTACTTTGCAAGACCCTACGATGGTCCCATAGTCGGCAGTTAGCTAGCAGCCATGACAACACAGTTCCAACCAAGCTTACCTTTTATTATTCACGGCCTTTTTTAAGTGTCCAATCGGGTGATGAGTCATAATAACGTGTCCACCCATGTCTCTTGTTCTTCATGAATGGCATGACAAAACCCTTGCAATCTTCCAATACCCTTAAATTTAACCATCATGGCCAACTGGATATCCACCCCATTTTATGTCATTTTTCGGTGATATAGCCCTTAAATTACAAGTACTCCTCAATTTTGATTTACCTAAAAAAATATGGGAAATAATTTCATTTTTTTTAAACCACCATTGATGAATCATATGTGGAATGAAGCTTTTGTGAACGTTGATATTGTAAAACAAGAAACTTGAGAGAATTATGTAATAAATCATCAGGTAATGGAAAGTGAGAGAAAACCAACATGATTGAAATTAGAAACTGTATTAGCATTTATAAATTAGATCAAAGGAGAAGATAAGTAAAGATCTTGATTCCCTCTTCTCCAAAATCTTTCATGTTAAAGAGTAGTAATATTTATTTGTACTGTTCAAAAATTTATAAATCGTTTAATTATACTCCATTCAAATTTCCTAATATAAACTTTTATAAGATCTTTAGTTTAATCCGAATTTTATAACTAATTTAAGTTTAAACCAAGGATTTGGTGCAATCAGAGTTAAGATTCTAAGAAGAGTGGGCCCGGAAGGAGGTGCCACCCTCTTTGGGTGAAGGGTCTCCATCTCATCTTCAGTCTTCTCCGTCTAATTATAGGTTTAACAAGGAATGACAATTTAATCCGAAATTAATGAAATTTAACTCGATCTAATTTGATATAGTTGATTTTTTCAAAAAAATTTTGAGTTTTGATTGAATTTTTTTAAGGGTGTTAATATTTTTTTGACTTTAACCGACTCTCGAATTCGATATATTTCTGGTAAAACATAGATCAGGTAAGATGGTGGCCGATCAACCTAAATATTATTTTTAAATGATCGGTGGCGGCTCTAACATTTTTTAAGTCGAAGCCCAATTATGAGTCCACCCGGAAGACAGCTACGATAAATTATTTGATACACTATAATTAATTTTATACAAAATGAATAAAGTATGGTTTGGTTAATATTTTCAAAAAAAATTGATTTGATTAATGATTAAATTTTTTTTGGTTTATTCGGTTAATAGAAATTTAATTCGATAGGTGGTTGAATTAACCATTTGAACATCATTATTTTTTAATTATTAGTATTTTATTAACATAATATTAAATTATTATATTAATATTAAATATTTAATTAATATTAATATTTTTTAAAAGAAACGGGGCTCGTTAAAATATAATTTAATATTATTATATTATAAAAATAATAGATAAATATTAATAATTTATTTAAAAATATAATATCATATATTATTATAATATATCTGATTATATATTAATATAATATTAAAAACATAATATTATTACAATTATATTATATGTATATAAAATATTTTAATAATTAATATTTTATTAAAATAATATTAGAATATTAATTGTATAAAATAATATTTTTTTGAGTGCTTATACTCTGAAAGTGAAAACTTAGAAAATATTTTACGAAAGATCAGATGGTAAAATAATTTACAGAAAACACAAATGAACTATGAAAATGAATTATATTTGAGAGAATCAATTAAAGCGGTTAAACACAGAAAAATATTTTTCGTAAAACCATTACAACTATCAAACATAGGAACAGGAAAACATTTTCTTAAAGACAATTTTCAACTATCAAACACACCCTTATTTTTAATTTCCAATTCAGTTACTAAATCATCCATTGTATAAAATTTATTTTTAATTAGTAAAAATAAGAGACCGTTGACACATAAATTAAAAAAAAAAAAAATCATACACATACGACGACGAAAAATGAGACTTAACCCTTCACGTTCATCTCATTAACATGTTACACATGCTTTAGTCTCTTTTCCCAATATAGTTTTATTCATATAATTTGTATGTAAAAAAAATGGTTGTCCCTTATTCTCATATGTAATGGAGTAAGGGGAGGTAAGATAGTAGGTTGTCCCTAACACCAAGTTGAGAGCAACTTCCGTAGAAGACCTCCGAATTATGAAATGCCCTCCGTGGGACTCGATCCCACGACCTCAAGGTTAAGAACTTTGTGCTCTACCAACTGAGCTAGATGGTAAGATAATTATAAAATTAGGTTAAAAATATTATTTTATCTAAAACAATTATATTATAAAATTATAACATAAGTATTGTGTTCTTAATTGAAGAATTTAAATATTAAAGTGGATATTACAACATTACGATATTCGTAAGAGTACAATCATTAAAGGGTAAATTGAAATGATCACTTACGTTTGAATTTTATGAATTTATTCTCATTGAATTAAAAAAAAAATCCTAAGATTCGATCACTTTTGTTTCATTTTAATTAAGATGTCGTCACTAAAGATTAATGATAATTAAATCTTTAATTGTTTGTTGACATAACACGGTAAATATATATAATTAAAATTACATTATTTTCACGTAGATAATATGTGAATTAAGTTTTAGTCACTTTCTTTTCAT